GAATTGCTTCTCTCAACAACCCATCCTGTGGTTGAGGAAGCTGAGACTCAAAGAGATTAACTAATTTTCCCAACTCATTCCTCAGTTTGGAAAAGTGGAGGCAGGACATTAATTGGACTCTGTCATAAATCACTGGGCTCTGTCTCTGGAGCAGGGGTATGTCTGGACCACAGAACATGGGCAGAGAGGGCCCGCTCCTTCATCAGTGATGAGTTGTGTCAGGTGAGAGAACTCTTAAATGCACAGGTCACAAGACTCAATTCCCCTTCTCTCCTTATTAGAAGCTTCCTCTGAAATCTACACCTTGCCAAGATGCAGAGTTAGAAAGTTCATAAATCAGAGAATCGCTGAGTGGCAAACTGCAAAAAAGGAAGTGACACTTCCCCGGGGGGGTGGAGATGCTGTTTGTGAACAAAAAAGTGAGAGGGACTTGGCCCCATATCTGCAAAGAGGCAGGTGTGCTTCTGCAGGGGGCCTGCGCCGGACCGCGTCTGCAACTGTTGTTACCTATCCATTGCTACACAAGCTCGGCTTTGGCCCCACAGTACACGCCTACTCTGTCCCCCAGCCTCATCACTCCCAGCTGTGTCTGCTCACTGCCTTCTGTCACCCCGAGTATGCAATTCAGACTCAGGGCCCTTGAGGCCCTCCTGTCTGGGACTGACCATTCTCCCTCCTCTTCCCAAACTACTTGCACCAGCCACATCAGCTTCCAGAGCTCTGCTGCGAAACACAGCGTGCTCCTGCCTCAAGGCTTTGCTCAGGTGTTCCCTCTGCTGTAGGGCTCTTTCCCCACTTCTTTAAAGAGCTGATTCCATCCCATGGCTCAGATTTCATCTCAGCTCTGAGCTCTTCAGAGTCCTTCCCTGACCTCCGAAATTATACTCTGAAGCCAATCACCATGACACTGACCTTTGTCATTTTCTTCACAAAGCCTTCAAAATCTTCACCTGCAACTCTTTCATTATTTCTTCGTCCTCTGCCAGAAGGTAAACTTCCAGAGACAGAAGTCAGCCTGTCCTGATCACTAGGCTCTCCAGAGTTAGAACAGCGCCTGGGTCGAGTGAGAAGCGCCTGAATTCTCACGAGTCGGCATTTGAATCCACAAAGGAAGCCGAGCTCTGGCCGCTCAGCATGTGAGCCTCGGTGGGTGCACAAGGCGGTGACTCTGGCTTCTGGGCAGCCGCCATCGCTCTGGTCCATGCTCAAGGCGTCTCCTCAAGTTGCTACTTAGGCTGTTGCTTTACCAAGACAGTGAGGAGGATGGGCAGGAGAGGCTGTTGATGTTTCTTGAGTTTTGATTTTTTTTTTTTTTTTGATTCTGAGGAACTAGATACAGTCTTGCATTGTTGAATGATGGGGATATGTTCTAAGAAATGCATTGCTAGGAGATTTCATCATTGTGTGAACATCATAGAGTGTACTTGCACAATCCTAGACAGGACAGCCTACAACACACGTAGGCTATGTGTATGGTCTATTGCTCCTAGGTTACAAACCTGCACAGCATATTACTGGACTGAATACTGTAGGCAATTGCAACACTAGGGTAAGTATTTGTGTACTTAAACATAGCTAAGCATATAAAAGGTACAGCAAAAATAGGTATAAAAGATAAAAAATCGCCAGGTGTGGTGGCTCATACCTGTAATCCCAGCACTTTGGGAGGCTGAGGCAGGTGGATCACTTGAGGTCAGGAGTTTGAGACCAGCCTGGGCAACATGGTGAAACCCCGTCTCTAGTAAAAATACAAAAATATTAGCTGGGCATGGTGGTGGGCGCCTATAATCCTAGCTACTTGGGAGGCTGACACAGGAGAATCGCTTGAACCTGGGAGGTGGAGGTTGCAGTGAGCACTGAACTTTAGCCTGGGTGACAGAGTAAGACTCCATCTCAAAAAAAAAAAAAAAAAGATAAAAAATGGTCCACCTGTATAGGGCACTTACCATAAATGGAGCTTGCAGGACTGGAAGTTGCTCTGGGTGAGTAAGTGAGTGCTGTGTGGGTATGAAGGCCTAAGACATCACTGTGCGCTACTATAGACTTTATAAATACTACACACAGGGGCTACACTAAATACATTTAAAAATATTTTTCTTGAACTATAAATTAACCTTAACTTACTGTAACTTTTTTACTTTATAAAATTTTTAACTTTTTTAACTTCTTGACTCTTTTGTAGTAACATTTAGCTTAAAACACAAACACATACAGCTGTATAAAAATGTTTTCTATCCTTATTCTATAAACCTTTTTATATTTTTAAAACTTTTTCCTTTTAAATGATTTTGCTAAAAGCTGGGACACAAACACATCCATTAACCTAGGCCCACACAGGGTCAGGGTCACCTGTATCACCTCCATATCTTGTCCCACCGAAAAGCCTTCAGGGGCACGCATGGAACTGTCATCTCCTATGACAGCAGTGCCTTCTGAAAAACCTCCTAACGGACTTCCCGAGGCTCTTTTACAGTTAACATTTTTTTTCATAAGTAGAAGTACCCTCTAAAATAATGATAAATAGTGTAATATAGCCAATACGCAAATCAGTAAGTCATTTATCATCACCAAGTATTATATACTGTAAGTAAGTGTACGTGCTAGACTTTTATACAAATGGCCACACAGTGGGTTTGTTTACCCAGCACCCCTGCAAATGCATATTGCATTGACATGTTATGATGGCTGTGATGTGACTAGCCTATAGGAACTTTCCATCTCCATTATCTTACGGGATCACTGTTGTATGTGCAGTCCACCATTGACCAAAACCTTGATATGTGGCACATGACTCCATCATCATCTGTAATTACCCAAATGTACACCCAGTAGCCCTCATCCCAACCTTGGCCTATTAGTTCATGTGAGATGGGAAATGATGCAGAATGGAACGGTGACTGGCTAATGAGCCAGGTTCCAACTCCACTTTTAGGTGCTGGGTGACCCTGAATAACCACAGCGCATCTGAGCCTTGGTCTCCTATTTGTAAGATGGTTGAGTTTGTGGTTTGGGGAGTCAGACAGGCCTGATTAGCCCACTCAGTGAGTTGGGCAACTTCCCTAGTTCTCTGTCCTGGTTTCCTCATGTATGACATGGAAATCTTAAAACCATCTCAGAGGGTGGTCATCAAGATGAAATGAGATAGAGCTTGTAAGTTTCATAGTTGTGTGCCAGGCACAGAACTCAGTGATTGTTGGGTGTTGATTGCCATTTGGTACTGCCTTTACTGCTATGACCACTGACAACCAGGCAGAGAATGTGGCTGTCATCTCCTGACATAACAAGTAAACCCTCACTATCTACATCATCCTTTACCTGAGTGGTTCTCTGAGTGTGGTCCCCAGACCAGCACTCTCAGCATCACCTGGAAACATGTCAGAAATACACATTTTCAGGCCCCATTCTGGACCTACCAACTCAGAAACTCTGGAGGTAGGTGGGGACCAGCCATCTTTAGCAAGTCACGTCCAGGTGATTCTTCATAGAATTCTGCATTAGCCCCAGCAGGTTGAGAACCACAGTGTTAGCCCCAATCTTCCTAACCCTAACTTCACATTAGAGCCACCTGATGCGCTTTACCAGCATGCTAATACCTGGCTCCACCTGAGGAGACTGGGAGCCCCAATCTTCCTAACCCTAACTTCACACTAGAGCCACCTGATGCGCTTTACCAGCACGCTAATACCTGGCTCCACCTGAGGAGATTGGGATTTAGCTGGGCTGGAAAGGACTCCCAGTAAAATAGAACCAGCAGGGTGTGAGTGTGAGTGTGTAAACTAGGACACACACACACAGAGAGACAGAGAGAAACAGACAGAGGTTTTGATCTAAAGAACTGGCTTATGCGATTGTGGGGCCTAGTAAATCCCGTATCTGCCAGGCAGACCAGCAAGCTGGAGACTCAGGGAAGAGCTGGCACTGCAGCTCGAGTTGGAGGCAGTCCGGAGACAGAATTTCCTGTTTCTTGGGAAACCTCAGTCTTTTTCCCAAGGCCTTCAACTGATTAGAAGAGGCCCACCCACCCACATTATGGAGAGTCATCCGCCTTACTCAACGTCTACTGATTTTAATGTTAATCTCTTCTAAAATATACCTTCACAGCAACATCTCAATGGTGGTGAACCAAGTGTCTGGGTGCTGTGGCCTGGCCAAGTTGACACACTAAAGGAACCACCTCGGCTGGGCAGCAGGGAAGCAAAGCCGTGGAGGCCTCCCTCCTGGCTCACATTCTTTCTGAACGAGGTCAACGAAACAAAGAGGCCGCCCCCTCCCAGGCCACATCTCACGCAGCCCCCGCTCCTCTCCTCACTGTCACTGCTGACAACCCGCGCAGCACCCTTGTTTGGGGGTTTTCACCCTGAAGGTGTCTTCCCAGCTTCTCCCTGGGAGCGCTCAACCTTGTGTGACCCGCTACCCTCAGCTCTGCTTTGAAGGTACTGCAGGACCCCTCTCAGGTCATGTGTGGATGGATAGAAACAGACACAGGACTAACCTGACATGGAAGAGGGGAACCGGAATGAAGAGCTCCAGGAGCAGCACAGATAGAACGCCCTGCGTGGTGCCGTAGGTGGAGTGGGCGCTGCGTGGCGCCTGAGGTGGTGCGCCCTGCGTGGTGCCGTAGGTGGAGTGGGCGCTGCGTGGCGCCCGAGGTGGTGCGCCCTGCGTGGTGCCGTAGGTGGAGTGCGCGCTGCGTGGTGCCGTAGGTGGCTGGCGCCCTGCGTGGTGCCGTAAGTGGAGTGCGCGCTGCGTGGCGCCTGAGGTGGTGCGCCCTGCGTGGTGCCGTAGGTGGCGTGCGCCCTGCGTGGTGCCGTAGGTGGCGTGCGCCCTGCGTGGCGCCTGAGGTGGGGCGCCCTGCGTGGTGCCGTAGGTGGCGTGCGCCCTGCGTGGTGCCGTAGGTGGTGCGCCCTGCGTGGTGCCGTAGGTGGCGTGCGCCCTGCGTGGCGCCTGAGGTGGGGCGCCCTGCGTGGTGCCGTAGGTGGCGTGCGCCCTGCGTGGTGCCGCAGGTGGGGCGCGCCCTGACGTGGCGCCAGTAATAGAGCGCCCACTGCAAAGCCACCGAGCCAGGCGCCTTAGACCCCCGCAGAACCTTCTTCACAAGCCCTTCTGTGTCTCCTTGCTCCTCAGCGTATTCTTGTGTACGTCAGGTTAGCCTCTTTCCTGGCTTCGGGATGAGGGCAGGCAGGGGAATTTAGGCTGCTGTTATAGGAGTCACAGAGGCAGCCTGAAGGTGATGGAAAGTCTGGGAAACACTCCCTGAGGAAAGCTTTGGGTGAAGCAGGTGCTGAAACGGGGTGGCCCTGCCCCACTGGGGCTGAGGCATCGCTTCTAGGACATCTGAGGTCATCGGGTGACGGTGACAAGATGGACAGGGATGGACTTCCACGCTGGCCTGGGTACTGCTCTCACAAGTTGCCCTTGGAATGAGCACGGAGAAGGAGCAGTGTGCTTTGTTTTTCAGAATGTACACGGGTTTCGTTTAAAGGGCTGCCCTTTGATGAGATGATGTCCTGCTGACTTTAGGAAAGGAGACGGTCATGAGAGTAATCGTAGCTGATGGGGTTCAGGGTGTTTTTTTTTTTTTTCTTTAACGCTCTTATATGACATTAAAAAAATTGTCAGCCCTTTGTTGGTTCTCCAGTTTGGAGGGAAGAGCAGTGAACGTTAGGGTCCTTACAATCCGAAAGCCGGGCAAACCACTGATCTAGGTTCTAGAACCTTCACCTGGAGTGATTTCACTGATTGCTGTTTTTAAAGAAGGATCTTGGGGTTTAATTCCTTTGCATCTTTTCTCAACCTTGAGCACTTGAGCTAGCCAACTCCTGAAGGCCAGGGTAAAGAGAAGGCCTGCCTTGCTATCATGGCACCATCACACACAACAATAGGAAGTGGCGAAGAACCCGCAGCCTGGCAGGTGCTGGGCAGAGACTGTGAATAAGGCACCATTACACACCACCCAGAGTTACCTCTGGGTAACTCACACGGCAAAGAAAAACACACAGTGACCACTACCCTACTCTGTTTTTTTCTGCGATTTCGTCACAGGCTCTTTTTATACAATTTAGGAACAGAAATATCCAGGTTCCTGTCCTTGTGAGGAAGCCATTCATGTAGTTTGGCATCCTCAGTCTGATCATTAGGTTATCTCTGCCTCCCCCGTCCAATGCAATGATCAGGTCAGGATGGGCACAGACCCACGCTGGGCCAGTCAGATCACACCTTGGGGCTTCTGTTTTAAGGTTTGGGAATAGACACACTTTCTGTTTCATGGGGTGCAGTAGCCCTGAGGACTGTGTAAGCCTAGAGCCGCTAGTGGCCTCCTTTGCTACCCTGTGGCGTGAGCCTGCTGGGTAGTAAAGAAAACATAGACGAAAGAGCTGAGAGTGGAGTGAGAGAGCTTTGGTATCTTTGTTTGAATCTCTACCTTCCATCATGCCTAAAGCTACCTGCACTCTGGGACTTCCCAGTATATTTCCTTAAAGCGGTTTGAGTCTAGTTTTGATCATTTGTACTCCAAAATATTCCTGAAAAACGCTCCCTAACATTTTATGCTCTTTCTACCAAAACTCAGAAGCCCTTTGCATGAGTGTCATTGGAAATCCACTGACCCAAATGCCATAGGCTGAGCTTAAGCCATTATCCTTAACACGTTCAATTCCATCTAAGAAATTCTTAGGGACCTGAAATCAATCAGGGACCAACTCTAGGACCAGCTTGGGGCCATCATGGCTGTGAAGAGAACAGCCCGACTTTATTAATTTGTTCTGATGAGCAACTTCCTACTGAACTAATTTGGACCTATATGGGCAATTTATTTAACTCCATGAGCTTCTGTTTCTACATCTGTAAGATGAGGGATAGAAGTAGCAGTATTGAAGGCTTGTTCAGTTTTGTTCAATTCAGTTCAGTCTCTTTCCAAACAGCCCAGGTCGACACAGCTCATCCAGTTCCACTCCCATGCGCGAGAGCCTCAAGTGACTTAAACTGTACTTAGACAGTCTCTTTCCTCACCTAATCATGGCTCAGGCTGGGCCAATCACACTCCCTTTCCAAGGAACTGGGCACTGTGTTGCGGGAGTTCTACTCTAGGGAAACCAGGATGTATCATGTGAGAGGCCCAGTGAATGGAGCAAAGGAGTAGGGAAAAGCAGAGAGACGTGTAAGGACAGGGTCCCACACCTTTGAGACCCAGGAGATCTCCCACTTTGGGACCCAGGAGGTATCTTGACATATGTCCACTAAAGAGCCCTTTGGGCCTCTAGCTAGCTGGAGAGGTTTCTTTTTATTACTCCTAAAAAACAGCAGCCAATCCCTGAAGACAGTTCTTAGCTGAAAATCAGTTCCTGTTTCCATGTGGTCCTGTGGAAGCTCCAGTCCACCCCTCTGTGAAAAGGGCTATCAAAGTTGCTTCACCTCAGAGGATTAGAGCTCAGTTGGGGTAATAGATGTGGAAACGGATCTTAGAAGACAATAATTTCCCGTAGGAACAATTGGAATTTATTGGACCCGCTTACTCTTCTTTTAAGGTTTTGTACCAACAGGCGAGCATCACATGCCTCTCCTCATGATCTCTACACAGATATTACTTCTTGAGGTTACTCGCAAGGAGCCAGCCAGCTGGCCAGAGCCAGCTCAGGAGACTGAACTGGGTGTAGGATGACGGATGGTTCAAAGAGGCCCTTTTCTGATGCAGAATGTCCTTGCTACTAGCCTGATCCATAATTACAGGTTGATTTCCTTATGACTTGAAAACACACTTGAATTAAAATGCAGACTAGGCAAAGTGTCCTTAGATTTGACACCAAAATCATAGCCCACAAAAGGAAAGATGATATATTAGCCTGCTTAGGCTGCCATAACAAAATACCATGGACTAGGTGGCTGAAACAACAGCAATGTATTTTCTCACAGTTCTATAGGCTGGAGGTCCAAGATGAAGGTCTGATAGGGTTCAGCTTCCGGTGAGGGCTCTCTTCCTAGCTGGTAGACAGCTGCTTTCTCACAGTGTCCTCGTGTGAGAGACTCTCTCACATGAGAGAGAGAGAGTCTCTCTTCTTCTTTTTTTTTTTTTAATTTATTCATTGATTTTTTTCTTAAATAAAATGAATTAACATCCATTATAAAAACTTTAAATCTACAGTAGGGTAAAAATAAACTATAAAACCTCCTTTTCAATCCCCTCATTTACTTCTACTCCACGGAATTAACGATTGTTAATATTTTCTTGTTTATCCTTTCAGAACTCCATTTATTGGTGAGAATGGTGTCATATAAATTGTCTTAGCCAGTTGTGATGGCTCATGCCTGGATTCACAGCATTTCTGGAGGCCAAGGTGGGAAGATCGCTTGAGGGCAGGAGTTCGAGGCCAGCCTTGGCAATACAGAGAGACCCCATCTCGTATGTGTTTTCTTATGCTTTCTCTTGGATATATGTTTGATGTATTTCTTCTTCTTTTTACAAAACCATTGACTTATCTGTTTATGTGTCATGCCAAATTCAAATAAGAGTGATAGACTCTCTTGTATTGTGGGCACCTGTTTAACTTAAACTTTGCCCAGAGATTGTCCATGAAGGATTTGCTGACTAATCTTTTCTTGGGATACTGTTTCTCATTTCCTTTTTCCTTTTTTTTTTTTTTTTCCTGTTCATCTTCCAGCTCCTTTTCATCTTCCTCTTCTTTTTCTCACTCTCTCTTTCTGCCTGCTTCTCCTCCTCCTTCTCTACATTTCTGCTTTCCCTTTTGTTCATCTTCACTGCAGTTTCCATTTGATTGTTCTAGATTTTGATCCCAAGGCATAGCTGGTTGTTTCTGTATAAAAAGATTTGAATTATCAGAGGCTTCTGAAGTATCAGGATCTCTCTCCACACTGAAAAAGTTTCTTCTCCCACTTCCTGGACACTGTCCTTTCCTGGACTTCCTCAAAGTCAATGGCTGGTCTTTCAAAGCTTTCTTTGTTGCTCCTCTTTCTCCTGTCTCTATTCTTCTTGTAAGAGCACCAGCCCTATGGGATTAAAGTACTACCCTTATGACCTCATTTAACCTTTATCACCTCCTCTCAGGCCAAAACAGAGTCACACTGAGTCTCATTGGGAGTTAGAAAATTCAACATAGGAATTTTTGAAGGACACAATTCAGTTCATAGCAGATTGATATATTCAACCTTATCTAAATTTAAAACTTTTGCTCAGCAAAAGACCTGTAAGGAGGACGAAAAGACATGCTATAGACTGAGAGAAAAGATTTGCAACCTATATATCTAACAGAGAACTTGTATATTAAATATATGAATCTCACAAAACTCAACAGTAAAACAAATTCCAATTAAAATATGGGCAACAATTCTGAACAAAATTTTAGCCAATTGAATGTAACAATGTATAAATCCCATGACCACATGGCATTTATTCCACATATGTACAGCTAGCTCAATGCTTGATAGTCAATGTGATTCACCATATCAACAGGCCAAAGAAGAAAAATATGATCACATCCATTGACATTGAAAAACATTTGACAACTTCAACACCCATCAATGATTAAAGGCACTCAGTACATTAGGAATAAAGGGGAACTTGCTTGATCTCATAAAGAGCATCTGTATAAACCTAAAGCTAACGTCATACTCAATGGTGAAAGATTGAATGCTGTCCTTCTAAGACGGGAACAAGATAAGGATGCCTGCTCTCACCACTCTTATTCAACAATGTGCTGGAAGTTTTAGTCATTGCATTAAGGGAAGAAAAAGAAATAAAAGTCATTTAGAGTAAAAAAGAAGATAGAAGTGTCTTTATTTGCAGACAATATGGTTGAAATCCCAAGGAATCTGCAAAACAAAACAAAACTTCATAGGACAAATAATTGAGCTCAGTAAGATCACAGGATACAAGATCAACACACAAACATCAATTGCATTTCTATGTACTAACAATGAACAAGTGGAAACCAAAATTTAAAAATGCAGCACAATTAATAATTGCCCAAAGAAATGGAAATAGTTATCAAACAGATCAAACAAAACATACAGGTATCCTTATGCTGAAATTACAAAGTGCTGATGAAAGAAACCAAAGAAGACCTAAATATTTAGGGAGATGCCAGCTGTGGTGGCTCACGCCTGTAATCCCTGAACTTTGGGAGGCTGAGGCAGGAGGATCACTTGAGCTTAGGAGTTTGAGACCAGCCTGGGCAAGATAGACCTCGTCTTTACTAAAAATATATTTTTTAAAAATTAGCTAGCCATGGTGGCGTGTGCCTATAGTCCCAGTTACTCAGGAGGGTGAGGTGGCAGGATTGCTTGAGCCTGGGATGTCAAAGCTGCAATGAGTCATGATCGTGCCACTGCACTCCAGCCTGGACAACAGATTGAGAGCCTGTCTCAGAAAAAGAGAAGAAATTGATAAATTGAAACTTATCAAACTTAAAAGCTTTTCTTGTAAAAGCTTATGTTAAGAGGACAAAAAGACAAGCTACAGATTGGGAAAAATTATTTGAAAATCACATGTTAGACAAAGGACTTGTATCTAGAATATGTAACAATTCTCTAAACTCAACAATCCAATTAGAAAATGGGCAAAAGACATGTAACAGACATTTCACTGAAGAGGATGTCCAGATGGGAAACAAGCATGTGAAAAGATATTCAACATCATTAGCCATTAGAAAAATACCAAATAAAAGTACAAGGTAGCATTACATACCTACCAGAATGGCTAAAATAAAATATAGTGATAACACCAAATGCTGCTGAGAATGCGGAAAAATCAGACCACTTATACACTGCTGGTGGAAATAAAAAATAGTACAGCCATTCTAAAAAATAGCTTGTCAGTTTTTTGGTTTTTGTTTTGGTTAGTTTTTTTTTTTTTTTTTTTTTGAGACAGTGTGGCTCTGTCACCCAGGCTGGAGTGCAGTGGCACAATCTCGGCTCATTGCAAGCTCCGCCTCCCAGGTTCACGCCATTCTCCTGCCTCAGCCTCCTGAGTAGCTGGGACTACAGGCACCCGCCACCACGTCTGGCTAATTTTTTGTATTTTTAGTAGAGACGGGGTTTCACCATGTCAGCCAGGATGGTCTTGATCTCCTGACCTCGTGATCCACCCGCCTTGGCCTCCCAAAGTGCTGGGATTACAGGCGTGAGCCACCGCACCCGGCCTTGGTTTGGTTTTTTTGAGACAGGTTCTCACTCTGTCCACCAGACTGGAGTGCAGTGGAACCATCATGGCTCACTGCAGCCTCAACCTCCTGGGCTCAAGCAATCCTCCTGCTTCAGCCGCCCAAGTAGCTGGGACTACAGATGTGTGTTACCATGTCCAGCTAACTCTTGTATTTTGTTTGGGTAGGAACAGTATTTTGCCATGTTGCACAGGATGGTCTTGAACTACTGGGCTCAAGCGATCTGCCTGTCTCGGGATCCCAAAGTGCTGGGATTACAGGCATGAGCCACTGTGCCTGGCTATCAGTTTCTTTTAAAACTAAAAATGAACTTATTTAGCAATTACATTCTTGGGCCTCTATCCCAGAGAAATTTTCATTTCAAAATCTTGGGTTTTTAACAAAAATTTATACACAGTGTTCATAGAAGCTTTATTTGTTATAGCCAAAAAAGCTGGAGACGACCAAAATGCCCTCTAATAATGTATTAAACTGTACTACATCCATACCGTGAGACACCATTCAGCAATACAAGGGAGAAACTACTGATACCCGCGGCAAGTTGGATGGATCTCAGTGTAGTCATGCTGAGTGAAAAGAGCCAATCTCAAAAAGTTACCTATCGTATGATTCTGTGCATACAATATTTTTGAAATAGTAAAATTGCAGAGCTGGAGAACAGATTCGTAGCTGTCAGGGATTTGGCAAGATGAGAGGGGAGGAGAAGGCCATGGCTAAAACAGGATAGCATAAGGGATCCTTGTATTCTATATTCTGACTGTGGTGGTGGTCATACGAACTCACATTTCATAGAACTAAGTATACACACACACACACGCACAACTGCATGCATGTAAAGGTGGTGAAATTCTAAGATCAATGTACTGCATCAATGCCAGTTTCCTAATTCTGCTATTTACTATAGTAATGCAAGACGTTACCACTGGGGAAACCGGGTGAAGTGTGTATTGCTTCCTTTTTTTTCTCTCTCTCTCTTCTTTTTTTGAGATAGAGTCTTGCTCTCTCACCCAGGCTGGAGTGCAGTGGTGCGATCTCGGCTCACTGCAACCTTCCCCTCCCGGGTTCAAGTGATTCTCCTGCCTCAGCCTCCTCAGTAGCTGGGATTACAGGTGTGCACCACCACATCCGGCTAATTTTTGTAATTTTAGTAGAGATGGGGTTTCACCATGTTGGCTAGGGTGGTCTCCAGCTCCCGACCTTGTGATCCACCCGCCTTGGCCTCCCAAAGTGCTGGGATTACAGGCGTGAGCCACGGTGCCCGGCCATGTTGCTTCTTATCACTGCATGTAGATCTACAATCCTCTCAAAAATAAAAAGTTTTTTTTAATGTGGTTTCCCCTAGAAAAAAAAATTCCATATAAGTGTACAGGTTCCTTTCCACATCCATTATCCCAACTGCTTCCATTCCTGGGAGGTCAAGCAGTCTTGTTCGCCCATTTTGCAAGAGAAAACTAGGACCAAAATGGTCAGTATGGCCAAGGAAAGATCATATTCTTGGTCCTGTGACTGGCTTTGTTCAATAGCTGTAGATAATTATTATCCCTATTTTACCTATGAGAAAACTGAGTCTCAGAAATAGGACGTGTCCAAATTTATATACTTAGAGTATGAAACAGAGCTCTTTTGATTGTAAACTATAGAAACTAAACCCAAGCTGGATTAAGGCAAAAAGGTGGCATTGGCTCAGGTAATGGAAAGTCTATGAGTTTCAGGCACAGCTTGACCCAAGTACTAAAACCATGTAATTGGGATTCCACCTCTCAATTTTAGCCCTGCTTTCTTTCGCATTGATTTTATTCCTAGGCAGCCTTTTCCCAAATGATGGCAAAGATATTTTACATTCCACCAACTTAGCAAACCATGAAAAGAGTCCCTCTTCCAATACCTCCAGAAAGGTCCTAAATTGATTCTGACTTTTCTGGCTTGTTACATACCCAGGAATACGTACAGTTGTTAATTGGCCTGGTCCAGGTCACATGCCCACCCTCGACCTGAATTATCTGAACCGAGAGTAGGGAGGATTGGTTCTACAAGGGAGGCTGAGCACACAGAAAACACACCTGCGTGGGCTCCCACGAGAACCCACAGGTAAATCGGAGGGCTTCCTACAAAGGGCCTGGATAGAGAGCAGCTGTGAACAGTAGCTTAGCTTTCCTTTGATGTTGGCCACCTGTCCTGCCAACCACTCCCTCAATGCTCACCTCTTGCCACTTTGGCAGGAGCCAAGGGGCCCCCTCTAAGTTGCACAGCAATCTGAGCATGGAACAAGGGGCTGGAATTTGAAGTTGCTCTAAGAAACCAGCCAGTATTTCTTTCTCAAAGACACCATAGACCCGTCTGCTTTGCAGAGTAATGAGAAGACACGTGTTAATAAAGGCGAACATTTGCAACTTGCCTACTAGAGACAGCTGAGGGTAAACACCGAATGGGATGCTCCCTTATTATTATCTACGCCTTGCCAGGCCACTTAGGAGGATGCCAAGAGCCCACAGTATTTCATCTCCAGCTCCGACTTCATCAGAGCCAAGTCCTCATCGCCCTATAGTCTTGCCAGCCGAGTGGGCAGTGCCAGCCCCTGCCGTGGGAGGGGATGTCCAGTGCATGGTGCCCCTGTTCCAAGGGGCACCCTCCGGAGCTGCTGTCCCTGCAGAACTAGTGAGGGTAGCTCTGTTTCTGCTGAGGGCCTAATGGGGACCACATACCCTTTCCTGGGTGTGCTTTTGTCTGTTCCCAGAAGCACCACTCATCCATCGTCCTCACTTTAATCTCCTTCTTCAGTTGACATATTTAAAATTAATGAGGAATTTTTTCTCATCCAACTCTCTGATTAGGGCAGTGAGCCTATTTCTCCCCCTCAAATGAATCTTCTAGGTAAAATAATGGAAAAATATGTTTTTCTCTCCTACCCCGGCCCTACTTTTAATGTCTTTGGCAGCCCCGAACAGAGCCACTATATAAAAAATCAGACACTTTATTGCTCAGTAATTAGCCCAAGCTAGCCCAGGCAGACAGTTTGCGGGTGGAGAGAAGAAGAGATGGATGAGGAAGAGGTGCCCAGGGATGTGGTAGGTGCTTGTGTGTAATGAGCTTTTGAACAATTTCCTCTGCTGGATTTCTGTGGGCAAAAGGTGTCCCTGAGTAGGCTGTGCCAAGTTACTTCCCGAAGATGTGAGCGTTAAAAAACATTTTTTCCTCAATCTCATGGTGTTATGGTCTGAATGTTTGTGCCCTCCCTGCCAAACTCTTGGTTGAAATCCTCACCCCCAAGGTGATGGTGTTTGGAGGTGGGGCTTTGGGAGGCAATTAGGTCATGAGGATGGAGCCCTCATGAATAGGATTAGTGCCCTTAACAAAGAGACTGCAGAGAGCATTCTTGGTCTCTTTGCATTGTGTTAAGGCACAAAGAAGCTGTGGCTGGATGTGGTGGCTCACACCTGTAATCCCAGCACTTTGAGAAGCCAAGATGGGCGGATCACCTGAGGTCGGGAGTTCAAGATCAGCCTGGCCAACATGTTGAAACCTCGTCTCTACTGAAAATACAAAAATTAGCTGGGCATGGTGGCATGTGCCTGTAATCCCAGCTACTCCGGAGGCTGTGGCAGGAGAATCGCTTGAACCCAGGAGGCAGAGGTTGCAGTGAGCTGAGCTGGTGCCACTGCACTCCAGCCTAGGCGACAGAGCAAGACTCCCTCGCAAAGTGAAAAAAAAAAAAAAGAAGGGCTGGGCACAGTGGCTCATGCCTGTAATCCTAGCACTTTGGGAGGCCGAGGCAGGTGGATCACCTGAGGCCGGGAGTTTGAGACCAGCCTGACCAATATGGTGTAACCCTGTCTCTACTAAAAATACAAAGTTAACCAGGCGTGGTGGCACATGCCTGTAATCCCAGCTACTGAGGAGGCTGAGGCAGGAGAATTGCTTGAACCTGGGAGGCGAGGATCGCAGTGAGCTGAGATCACGCTGTTGCACCCTAGCCAGGGCAACAAGAATGAAATTCCCTCTCAAAAAAAAAAAAGAGAGAGAGAGAAGCTGTCAGTCTGCAACCCAGCACATAGCAGGTGTTCAGAAAGATGTGTTGAACTGAGCTGATGCAGGGTGAATACAGACACAGCTCACGCATGAAGCCAGGTGAGCCTTGGCCCAGGCATGCCCTCTGGAAGAGGTGGGGGATAAATGAGAGGATACTGCCCCCCTGTTCCTATCAAGAAAGGGTTCCTGGAGCAGATGCAGCTTGACTCCGTTTGGGAGCACTCTGGACACTTCTGTACTTCTGCTGGACCACCACAGGAGGAGAAGCAGGCTTACCTGTCCTCTGTCCTGCCTCCCACCTTCTTTTGTGCTAAGTCCTCCAATCGTCAAGGCCTGATGTTCTGTTGGTGACCACTCTGTCTCTGCTGGTTAAAAAGCCGGTTCTCAAAAGGACTGTCCAGTGTGGCTGACCTTCACTCAGCAAGGTCTGTGACTCCCAGGTATGAAGCCACTGGCGGAGTATCCAGGGGCCAAGGGCTGATGCGTTTCTCCTCATCCACCTCACTCTGACCCCAGATGCCAGTTAGCCCAGGAGAGGTTCCTGAACACAACCCCGATGGAAGCAAACATAAGTTCTCAATGCCTAAGGGATGGATGTGGCAAATCTGGCCTCAGAACCTAAACCAAGCAGGGAAGTAACAGCAGCAATTCTGAGGCTGGGAAGACCGGCTTGGGAAAGTTGCAAGCACTGAAGCATTTTCAATTCTTAAAATGCAGCAGCACCCCTTGCCCCACCCTGAGCAGAGGAAAAGGCAATCAATTCTTCTGTGGCAAAAACGAAAGAAAGTGCTCAGCTGATTAAAACTGCTGTTGCAGGAAGAAGCCAGCCCTCTGAGATGGTTTTGCCAGAAAAACACAGGATGCCCAGTTAAATTTGGATTGTAGATAAACTAGAAAACAATCTTTAGTATAAGTATGTCCCCTGAAATACTGGGGACATACTTATACTAAAAATTATTGCTTACTTAGCTGAAATTCAAATATAACTGGGCCTCCTCTACTTTGCCTGGCAACCCTGCTGTGATAGGTAGAGGCTGCTGCTGAATCTCTGCTGTGTGTTCTGTTCACAGGTGGTGGGCAGTACAGAGGAGGATGAAGAGGCGTGGTCCACCACAACAGGTTACCCAGAGAGGCTGCAGAGAGTTTAAAAGGAAGGAGAGGGATCACCAGACCATGAAGTAGGTACAAAGGCATTCCTGTCCAAAATACTGAAGACTTGGGAACAGCATAAATGTTTCACATCAGGAAAATGGTTTGAAATGATGGTATATTTATATGATGGAATATCAGGCAGACACTAGATAGTATGTTTGGGAGGAAACTTCAAAAACTTTGAAAAAAAAATGCCCACCTTGTCTGTCTCTGAAGAGCCCTGAGCTCCCTGGACCCACACAGTTGGGCAATGAGGGCTTTTATCCTGTAGTTACTCCTGAAGATGAGTCCAGGCCTTTAAAGTTGGCTCTGCAGGTTCACATCTCAGTTCTGTGGCTTCCTAGCTGTGCCGTCTTCGAAAAGTTATCTTTCTGTGCCTCAATCGTCGCATCCCTAAATGGGGCCAATATGGGCCAACCTCATAGGGTTCCTGTGAGGATCAGGATGTGATAAACACTCAGGACAATGCCTGGGACATGGTAATAGCTTGGTGCAATAGCATCAGCTCAGTGTGCGTTAGCTGTGATTTCTCCCATTTCCCACAAGGAGGCTAAAGGACAAAACCGTGGAGAAAGTACAGGCATACCTGGAAGATACTGAGGCTTCAGGTCCAGACCACTGCAATCAAGTGAGTCAGACAAGTTTCTGTTTCCCAGTTATGTTAAACGCATGAAAGTTATGTTTACACTATACTGTGGTTTATTAAGTATGCGATAGCATTATGTCTAGAAAACCAGTCTAAATACCTTAACTTTAAAAGATACCTTGTTGCTAAAAATTGCTAGTGATCAAGTGAGCCTTCAGCCAGTCATAATCTTTTTGCTTGTGGACAGTCTTCCCTCAATGTTGATGGCTGCTGATTGATCAGGGTGGTGGTTGATTAATTTGTGGGTCACTGTGGCAATTTCTTAACATAAGACAACAATGAACTTTACTGTATCCATTGGCTCTTCCTGTTGTGAAAAATTTCTCTGTAGCATGTGATGCTGTTTGAGAGCATTTTATCCACAGAATAACTTTTTTTTTCCCCAAAAAATTGGGCTCAATACTCTCAAACTCTGCTGCTGCCTTAGTAATTAAGTTTAGGAATATTCTGAATACTTTGTTGAATTTCAACAATGTTCACAGCATCTTCACCAGGAGTAGATTCTATCTCAAGAAACCACTTTCTTTGTTCAATAAGAAGCTACTCTTCATTCATTCAAGTTTTATCAAGAAGTTGCAGCAATTCAGTCACATCTTCAGACTCCACTTCTAATTCTAGTTCTCTGGTGTTTTCTTGCTATTTCTACCACATCTGCAGTTATTTCCTCCACTGAAGTCTTGAACCCCTCAAAGTCATCTATTGTTTCGAACTCCTATTAATGTTGTGGGGTTTGTTTGTTTGTTTGTTTGTTTGTTTTTGAGATAACAAGGCCTCCCTCTGTTGCCCAGGCTGGTCTCAAACTCCTGGACTCAAGCAGCCCTCTCACCTCAGTCTCACAAAGTGTTAGGATCCACCATGCCTGGCCAGTGTTGATATTTTCACCTTCTCTCATGAACCACAAATGTTCTTAATGGTATCCAGAGTGATGAATGTTTTCCAAATTTTCAGTTTACTTTGCCTAGATCCATCAGAGGAATCATTATTTATGGCAACTACAGCCTTATGAAATGAATTTCTTAAATAAGATTTCGAAGTTGAAACGACTCCTTGATCTTATGAGTTGCAAAATGGATGCTGTGTTAGCAGGCATGAAAACAACATTAATCTCCTTTGACGTCTCCATTGGAGCTCTTGGGTAACCAGGTCTATTGTCAATAAGCCATAATGTTGTGAAAAGAATCTCTTTTTCTGAGCAGTAAGTCTTAAGAGTGGACTCAAAAAATTCAGTAAACCATGCTGTAAACAGATGTGCTGTCAGCCAGGCTTTGTTATTCCACTTATAAAACATTGAGTAGAGTTCACATAATTCTTTTCTTTTTTTTTCTTTTTCTTTTAATTTTTTACAGCAGAAAGTAAAGGCTAAGAGTTAACATCATTCTTAAGGCCCCTAGCATTTTGGGAATGGTAAATGTGCATTGACTTCAACTTAAAGTCACCAGCTGCATTAGCCTCTAACAAGAGAGTCATCCCATCCTTTGAAGCTTTGAAGCCAGGCATTGACTTCTCTCTAGCTCTGAAAAACGTAGACAGTGTCTTACTCCAACAGAAGGCCATTTCGTCTACATTGAAAATCTGTTGTTGAGTGTAACCACCTTCATCAATATCTCAGTTTGATCTTCTGGATAACTTGCTACAGCTTCTACATCAGCACTTGCTGCTGCTTCTGTACTTTTCTGTTAGAAAGAAAGCTTCTTTCCTTAAACCTCATGAACTGATCTCTGCTAACTTTCAACTTTTCTCCTGCAGCTTCCTCATCTCTCTCAGCCTTCACAGAACTGAAGAGAGTTAGGGCCTTGCCCTGGATTAGGTTTCAGCTTAAGGGAATGTTGTGACTGGTTTGATCCTTTATCCAGACCATTCATGCTTTCTCCATATCAGCAATAAGGCTAATAATAAGGTTTCACTTTTTTTTTTAATCTTCATGTGTTCCTTGGAGTAGTACCTTTCATTTTCTTCAAGAACTTTTCTTTTGCACTCACAACTGACTGGTGCAAGAGTCATAGCTTTCAGCCTGTCTTGGCTTTCAATATGCCTTCCTCATTAAACTTAATAATTCCTAGCTTTTAATTTAAAGTAAGAGACATGTGACCCTTTCTTTCACTCATTTAGAGGCCATTGTAGGGTTATTAACTGGCCTAATTTCAGTATCATTGTGTCTCAGGGAATAGGGAGGGCCAAGAAGAGGGAGAGAGATGGGAGAACAGCCAGCTAGTGGAGATTTTTCTTTTCTCTCTCTACCACCTTAAGACAAACTTTTGTTAGGTTACCTTTCCAGCCCTAATCTACCAGGTTGGGAGCTGTGCAGGGCTGGGCTTTCAGGAGGCAGAATAGAGAGCTTTTCATTGCAGTGCGGTAGAAGGTCACTGGCTATGTCTTCTGGCCCCAAACACCACACATCGTCCACCTCTCCGACACCTGCCAGTTTCAGCACCTGAAAGGTGATAATTTCCAATTTATTTCACAGGGTCTTGAAAGATGGGTCATTTGTAGAACCTCAAGTGGCCCAATGGGGGCTAATTGGCAGCTGGGTTTTGCATGGTACTTAGGTAAGTGTAGGGGAGCAGAAGTACCCAGAGGTTCATACAATAGGTGTGTTAGTCTTAGGTTTTAAGAAACTGAGCTGTACTGTGGTTGCTTGAGTAAGCTGTGTTTATTATAAGGGCAGCTCTGGAGTAAAGGATGGAATATAGATGACATGCACAAACTTCAAAGGGACCCCAGAAGTATTTTTACAGTCAGGCCTCATGGGAATAGGAAAGTGATCCAGGAAGGGTAGTCTTAGGGTGATCATCACCTCAGCAGCAGGAGCCCTCTGATGCCCTTAGCCCTTACCTTTACTCAGCTCTTAAGGGTCTTTCTTCCATTGCCCGTATTGAAGCAGGAAATTTTCCCTGACCCCTTCGTGGGTGGGAACCAGAGTGCAGGCACTGGAGCTAGCCAGCTGCTTTGGTGCCACTGAACTCCACTCTCTTGAACCCATTGTACTCAACCCCTCATGGAGGGAGCATGCAGGTGAGTGGGTGTGGGAGCCAGGGTGAGTCTTTTGGGTGCCAGCAGAAGCAAAACTCCATGTAGGCCTTGCAGCAGCATCTAGCAGGGAATATCCATGACCCCCAAAGACCCAGAAGGAGTGTTACAGTCGGCGCTCTTTCAGCTTTGCTGTCTATGGACAATTTAAGTGTTAACAACTCAGTGAGCCCTCTGCCTTTTCACTTGAGGTGGCTGCTTTCTGCCAGTGAGGGCAGAGGGTCAGTGTGACAATCTTTTGCCTCCACACCTATGGTACCCGAGCTTTTGTTCACTGTCCAGGAAAAATCGGATTGTACAAATGAATTAAAGGTTGGTGAATGCAAAAGATTTTATTGCCGATGAAAGTGGCTCTCAGCAGGAAGGGGAGCTGGAAGGGGGATGGAGTGGGAAGGTGATCTTCCCCTGGAGTCCAGCCATCCCCAGCCAGACTCCTGTCTGAAGCAATGCCATCAAGCCATCCCTCTGAAGTCAAACTGCTTCTCCCTGACGTCCAACTGTAATCTCCGACATCCTGCACTTCTCCTCTTCTCCTCTCTGCCAGTGCAGCCTAGGGTTTTTATGGGCAGAAGATAGGAGACAGGGCAGGCCATGGGTGGTTTTGGAAAGTGCAACATTTGAGCAGGAAAACAAGAATGCATGTTCTCACTTTGGGCTGTGGTTCCAGGCTTGGGGGTGGGACCCTCACTGGGGACCCACCCTCTTCTGCCCAGAATTTCCCTTCCTCCTGTCCGTATCACTATGACTGCTTGCAACCTACTCTTTCTCTTTTCTCTACCTCCTGGCCTCTGCTAGTTACAGCCTCTGCCTATTCACAGATTCTCCAGCTCATGGCTTCTGAGTATTACTTCTCTCTGATGGAGGTTGAGTTTATTTTCCCATGACCAAGCACTCAATTGCCCCTCTCTGTTTCATATTTATACTGCCTAAGGAATGAGTCTGCAGAATAGGCACTGGCCCTGCTGTCTATCCACTGTCCAATCAGCTGTGGCCATGTGGTCACATGATCATGGTTCTAACATGGCAGCTCACGGTGGGAGGAACTCATGGGAAGAGGACTATGGGAGAGGCAGGCACCCCAAGGCTTGTCCTGCCCACATCAGAGAGATGAAAAAGAGGGGGTATGACTGTGCCAATAACAAATTTTCTCTATTTTATAGATTGGCTGCTGGGGGAGGGTCTGGTAAAATGAAATGAGACACTGAGTTCTGTCATGGAACTTTATTTTCAATAATTAGGCTTTATTTTAAAGAATCCTTAGAGTTCAACCCACAAACGCCAGAGAGCCAAGGGGCACTGTTTGAAAAAAAAAATAACACTAGGTCAAATCTGACCCTCTAACCTTGTAGCCAGGCTGCTTTTTTCATTTTTCACAAGTCAGACACGTCTTTGGGGACAGTGGTAAGAACACAAGGAAGTGATCCCAAGTCCCCTAGACGCTTCAGCATCATCTGGCCAGTGAGGGCAGTATTTTTTGCCCTAACTCTCTAGGCACTACTAAGTTAAAGATGTACAGGACGTATCATGTAGCTGGCTCATCTCTGAGGTAGTCTTCCAGCTGCCTTGATCTTGTCTTGGGCATGTCTGCTGGGTTCTATAACTTAATATGGTAAGTCATTTTAACAGGTAAACAGTGGAGTTTTTTGGTTTGGGGGTTGGGGGATTGGAAGAGAAAGAGAATGAATGTACCAAAGACATCTAAAGGGAAAGAATCCAAAAGAGAAAAGGGAATATTTATCCACTTAACATTTACATTTAAAAAAATGTAGTTTTCTTTAAAACACTTAGCTTAACTATCAGAACAGAAATGTGCTCATGAGGTAATTCACATGAAAGAGGCAATGACTGATGGCTTAAGGATAATATATACTCACGTAGTAGGAGTAAGTGTCACACACTGTTCCAAGTGCTTTATCTGTATCAAGTCATTGGTCTCCACAATCTTATGAGGGAGG